ACCTTGACCCGACCTGTGACCTCAAAATTCAACTTTAAAGTACTCATCTGAAGCGTCTCGTCGCGCTCTTTCGTTTGCCGCCTCGTGCGTTTCGCTGCGCCTATTGGTTCTCGAGTTATCGGCTGGGGGCGTTTAACGCCCCCCCCCAGCAAACGGTGGGTGGCGAAATACCCCAGCAACTGCCGGGTTAAAACAATCATTTTCTTATGAAAAGCAATCATGTTTTGCTTAGGTGACTGGCCTGCTGTGGTCACTGGAGGTGATAAAAGGAAATAATTCTTATTTTTCCCCAATTTTAGCATTTGCCACAAGCCGGCGCATAACCTGTGCACCAAAAGAGCTATACCTGACGCCGCGGAAAAATGCATTCTATCTCATACAATGTTATTTTTCGAACATGCTCTCAGATTTGAGCTCAGGTCAACAGGCTGGCCTAGAGGGCAAAAGTTACCAAAATGGATGGATCTTATCGAGCTATTTTTATTTCGCTTTGTTCTAAAATTTAGTTAGACACCATCAATGTCTTGCATTTCTTTTACCACTACAGTATTTCTCGCCCCAAAACTCGTCGAATTAATCATGCTTTGGCCTTTACAGTTAAGCTCGAAATTTGAACACCTGCCAATCTTATGAAAGAACTGAAAAAGGTCATGCTGTATATCAATTGATCCGCGTTGTTGAATTAAGCAAATTCTAAGTATTTTCAACGCTCCGCCCTGTCTCCATCAAACGTTATCGTGAAAAAACTACTGGTGACGTTTTATTTCGATCGGCGATTACCGCGTGTCGTTACGTGGTCGAGAAACTACAACCAGTATAACGCCTTTTGGGGCGACTAACGGAGCGAGCGAGAGGGTGGGCCTTGCACGTGCGAAATTGCGAGGGGGTACCTCCAACTGACTTGTGCACGGCACCTTACTAACCGGTCTCTAGCGATGTGCCAAATTTGAGCACAATCGGCCCAGCCGTTCTCGAGATCTGGAAGCGGCACCCTGCACGTGCGCACGTGCAAAATGGGTCCCAACTGACTTGTGCACGGCACCCTACTAACTGGTCTCTAACCGTGTACCAAATTTGAGCGCAATCGGTCCAGCCGTTCTCGAGATCTGGAAACGACCCCTGCACGTGCGCACGTGCAGCAGCACCCCAACTCTGGCACATGGATATGCATTGCCTAGTGGGTGCCTACCTACATGCCAACTCTCAGCGCAATCGGCCCAGTAGTTACCGAGATATTGCAACAATTACAAAAGTGACACCTCTTCGTTTTGCACGTGGCACGTGCATAAGGGGTCACCCACATGCATCGGGAATAGTGCAATACTTGGTAGAAGGAATGAAGCTACCCTACAAAAATTACCCCATGTAAATCGGTCAAGTGGTTGCTGAGATATAAGCCTCGCAAAAGCGTGACCACGGCCGGCCGGCCTACTCAGAAATTTCCGTTAATCTAAGGAATGACTACGCTCGCTTCGCTCGCTCCGTAATTAACTACTGTACTACTGTAGTTAAACTAACCCTCTTCGGCACAGGGGGGGGGGGGGGTGATGCACCTTCTAACCCTCGCCCTGGCAGGGGGGGGTCGATGCGACCCCCCCCTAAGGTTTTTCGAAGATAGCGTAAAAACGGCGGCGCGCAGCGCCGCCAAATTTGGCACAGCCTATGGGGCAACCTTTTTACATATGACCTGAAAATTTCAGGTCCAGGTGACCTTGGGTCAGGTCACCAGGTCAGAAAAACCGGTACAAGGTCATGGTCAAATTTCAATTTTCTTTTTGCACCTGTCCAACTCACAGTTTTCGACTGATTTCTTTCAAACTTTCAGGATGTGCTAAGTTCACCGAGTTGTATAACATATATTCCGGCTTTTTTGAGGTCACTGACCTGAGGTCAGTTAGAGGTCATTACGTCGTAATGTTAAGCCTATGGGAAAATACTAAATTCGGAAAATACTGGAGATATCCGCTTCGTTCTATCACTTTTGTGATTTGAAACCACGGTACTTAACAGCAGGTCACTTGGTGCTTCGTTGTTTGGTGTACTTATCCATGGGTCAGGTCAAATGAGGTCAACTGAGGTCAAATGACGTTTTTGCCAATAACTTGACACATAATGACGCTAGAGCTTAAAAAATGGTACCATTGTGTTCCTGGTGATCAGCCGAATCGAATGATATGCGATATGATGCAGTTTGGTTAACTTGAACTTAATTTATTAATTTAAGTTTACTTAAAATTTAAGAAAAACTTTAAGTACACTTAAGCAAGCTAAAAAGTATATCATTCGACGCGCCTTGACGTGCTGAGTTCACTGGTGCTTTTCTTTTTTCTCTATCTTTATTAGATCAAAAGTTATAAGCGAAAAACTTTTGGCCTGTTTTTAGCGAAATTTTTACATTTATACCCCCCAAAACCCCCCTAAATATTGACCTAGAGCAACCAAATTTGCACAGGGGCGAGAACTCCAGGGGGCCCACCTACCTACCAAATTTGGTGTTTCTAGGTGCCATAGGAGCCAATCGCGAGGGGGGGGGTCGCATCGACCCCCCCCCCCCCCCTGCTAGGCCGTGTTATGAAAAATGCCCTGCCAGGGCGAGGGCTAAGGTTTTTCGCGAATAACTCGCGTAAAAAGCAGCCGATCGCGACGAAACTTTGAGTACCCTCGCATTGATCAATTTTACACCTACCCTGAAAATTTCATGACCCTGACCCAAATGACCTTTGATCTGTGACCTACTTTCGAGACCCTGTTTGGCCGGAATCACGATTCGGCGTATGTCGGCTCGCACTAGCCGCGCGTTTATAGTCTTTTCGTGGTTTCAAGCGTTCAAACATGTGATTTGATGTTGCTCCCATGCATTAGGGTGGATGTCAAGGACACCTGAAGGTCAGGTCATGTTATTAACCCACGAGCCGCTGGGGGGGGGCATAAAGTTGCCCCCCCTTTACGTTTTGTGAAATATCTCCGAAATCTGATGAGCTACGAACGTGAAACTTGGCATAGCTTCAAATGAATACCTAGGCAATGTTTGAGGAAAGTTTGGTGGTTGTAGCACCTAAGATGACGTCACAGTGACGTCATAAAGTTTTGCCGTTTTCCGATATGGACCGTTTCTGATGACGCTGAGCGTGAAACTCAACTGTAAATGAACTAGCCAGCACCTGCTGTCATCCTAAAACATCTAACTACACTTCCATCTAGTTTCTGGCCAATAATTGACCCTTTATATTCGGTCCCATATATCTGATGTATCGTGAGGAATATGAGAGTCGCAAATCTATAATTTCACTTATGACGTCACTGTGACGTCACTTCAAATGGGATCGACACCAAATTTGGACACAACCTTGGCTAGGTATTCAGGAAGATGTGTGCAAAGTTTCGCTTCTCTATCTCTTCGCATTGCGACGATATCGTCGCAGAAGTAAAGGGGGGGCAACTATATGCCCCCCCCCCAGCGGCCGGCGGGTGGCGCGGAGGCCCAGCGGCCGCCGGGTTAATCTTTGGTGACCTCGCTTATTTCTAGGCTAGTTTGTGGAGCTGAATTCGAATTTAGCAACCATTTGAACATTTACGAAGTAGTTTAAGTGCCTTCGTAACATGTTACGAAGCTGTCGGAGGCGGTTGACACGTACTGCGAATACCCGTCACGACCCCTACTGGTTGACCTGACCTAACCTGACCCAACCTGGTCTAAATGCTTAAAGACATCATCTGTGATCAAAACTAACACACTATTTGTGATCAGCACCCCGGAGACCCCCATTGCAGCTACATTTTATGACTTTCTAACAAGTCCCGATTTTCCCAACTGTTGGGTCATTGACCTGACCTGGAAGGTCAACCGATGACCTAGGACCTTAAAATTGGGAATCATCGGCTTCCTCTCGTGACGGACAACACGCTCGTTTTTTTGCGAGGCTCTAGCTCAATCAGGGGCCAAACGCGAGGAGGTTGTACCCCCTTCCCCCCTTGTGCCGTCAATGGACACAAAAGGGCCTGTGTCGGCGAGGGTTAAAGCGTGGATGTAAAAGCGCCCGCCCCACCGCGATATGTTACGATCGCCCCCTGGCGTGAGTTAGATGAGCAAATGAAGGAAGTTCATGCTACATATATTGAAGTGGCCATTGCGACGAAGCACTGAGTGAAATATATTCTAGTCTCATGAAGTAAAAACTTCATATTGATCAGTTTGAGCAAACATAGAAAAGGAAGAGACTAGTCATTAGCATTGCTCGGGGTTATTATTTTCAACGGGCAAAAAAACAGCATTTTGATACCTATATCTTTATCTTCCATTTGTACCTATTTCATCGATTACCACAAAAGTTTAAGTGATTATTTTTATTACCAATTATGAAAATAAATACTCCTTCATTTGTAGTTCTTACGTCACATAATGCTAAGCAAGCCCGTAGCTATTTCTAAATATATATTTATATGGCCTTGTCTCGGGGCAATCTCTTTCGGTAAAATAAAGCCATTGCAGAGCTAAGGGTGGCAGGATAGAGTGGAGACATTTGACTAAGCAAACCACGGGCTGGAGCAAACCACGGGCTGGTGCACGGCAGTGGCTTTTTTGCACTACAGGACGGGCCCACTCCTATCTTCGTGCTGTTGTTTTAGACATTTATCTCTCAAAAGTGTGTGGAGTGTGGAGCGTAGAAGTTCTAGCCTTTCTTGTAGCAAGCATTATTTACATCGTTCACACAGGCATGCGGTACAGTATATCTTCAGGCGCAAGCTGCAGTGTCACCATTGCGGCAGCCGTCCAACATACCAGCGCTTGGAGATGTGCGGTACAGCATAGCTACAGGCGCAAGCCGTAGTGCCATCTAGCGGCGGCTCAAAAGTATAGTAGCTTCACGACAATTCTTAGCTACAAGACTAAACGGACAATACGACAACTTAGCGAACAAGGAAGTCCGGCAGCGTACGTGCCTGGGTGTCGGTATCGTCGGTATTGGACTCCAGCTTGCCTTTGGTTCGACAGCTGGCCGGGTTCTGCCTTTGACCGCCGAGTGGCGCCACCGTCTGCCCGTCGACCGTCCTCGTGGGTCCGCCGATCCGGCGACAGTGTACGGTGAAGCGCCGCCGTCGCCGGGCACACCTCTGCCCCAGTTTGGTACTCCAGAGTGTACCGTGGTCTGGCTGCGTCCGCGGCCTTCTGAGAGTCCAGCACAGGTCAGTCATAGTCGCTGCTGTCATGTTTGGCTAATCTGCATTGAAGGAAAATCGATGTGCAATATCAGTTCTTCTTGGGGCCTTCTTGCACTCGCTGGTACTAAAAGGTACATTTTTTGTTTCTTTCTTTTTTGGGGGAGGGGATAAACGAATGGTCGATATCTGCTGACCAGCAACAAGGGCTGTTGAGTCATGAGTGAATGGGAAGAGGTCGAGGATCCGACACGTGGATATATTTCTTTCTTTTTGCTTGGGGGATGATGGTGGTAAATGTTCATATTTAAGTCATTAGGAGCAGGGGAATGCCGTCTGGCGACTGGCATGCTGTAATCCATGCACGCTCTTTGGGCCTCGGTTCAGCGGCCCCATACGTTACTTGAGCCGTAAGTAGTGCACGCATTTACATAGGCGAATTGATTACCTACACCATCGGACTAAAACATCAACCTAACATTCACGAGTATATCAAGGTAGCTCTTGATTCAATGTCCTTGCCAAAGTTTCCGACCGACTGAAAAACCATTGGCATAAATGTTTTAAAGTGATACTGAGGTACATTTGCAAATGTTTTTTGCAAATGTGCAAATGTTTTGAAGTGAGAGCAAAGTATAATATCAAATAGTTGGCTACCAACGAAAATCATCGATCTCATGTTCACAAATCCTCATCTGAATGATTTTATCATTCACTAACATGTTTGTGCAATGCGCTCCCCCACCCCTGATTGTAACAAAGCCAGTTATTTTAACCCGCACGGGGCTGGGGGGGGGTACATTTTACCCCCCTCGCAAGTTTTTGCAATATCTCAAAAACGGCGACACGCAGCGCCGCCAAACTTTCAGTACCTTTTTTACATCAATTTGACACGTTTCCTGAAAATTTGAGCGAAATCCGTCGGAAATTTTTGAGAAATTGACGTTTTAGTGACGTCATGTTCGCCATTTTCGCCTCAAAAACGACAAAATTTCAAACGCCGCTAACATCTTCATTTTTAAAGGAACCAAGTCGTAACAAAAAAGTTATACGTAATTCTACTTTGTCTATCAAATGGCTATCTTGGTTTTTTGAAACTTTGGGATTTTGGCCCAAATTTTCCAAAAAAACTGATTTTTTTAAAATAATCATAAAATCAAAAATTTTGAGTGTATCGAAAAACCCGGATGATATTTCAGAAGAGTGGTCTACGTGCACCTACATAACAATTTTTAGAAGAATCGGTTCAAAAATGTGGGAGTTATTAAACATTGTATGCCGTCACGACACACAAAAAAAAAATTGAAAAATGATTTTTTTGGAAGTTCTAGACCTCGTACGGAAACAAAAATAGCACCATTCGATTAGCCGTGAAAAACTGCATCAGTTAGATACCTTTTCAGGCCTTAACAACCAACTTCAAAATTTGACCCCACTTGACCTGACCTTGACCTGACCTCGACCTGAAATCCATCCAGAAGTGGTCCATATCACTTATTGAGTGTGCCTATTGAATTCTATTAGTAAAATGACCCATAAAACATGTGTCGCACATGCCCTTTTCTATATTTTGTTTTTGGTGACCTGACCTGACCTGACCTGACCTTGACCTTGATCTCTGAATGATATTGTATGCAACGAATATTTTCTTGGTAGCCTAAGAACACGTTTTGGGCAATCAGTCTCAGTCCACGACTCCATTCTTCGGCAACTACGGTGCAAGGCCGATACTGTAGGAACTTGCAATTTGTACCCTTGACCTGCCCTTGACCTTGACCTCAAACTTTAAATTAAGTACATGTTTTTAGTTGTTCGTGATGAGATCTTTTGATTGGCGTTTGAATTTTCCAAATCGGACCATTAGTTCGGGAGATAACAGGGGGGTAAAATTTACACCCCCCAGCCCCGCGCGTTCGGCTGGAGACCCCAGCCCCGCGCGGGTTAGAAGACGAGTCACTCTTGAACATCCTGCTCTTGTATGTAGATACCTACAAATACGGTTGCCCCTGTTTCCATAGCGGTCTGCTACCGAGCCCTCGGTCTGCTATCTGCATTCAGTGCATTGCACTCGCACTCATCTGCATTCACCCTCGCGTGGCATGGATCACTCAGCGCGAATAGTTACTCTCCGTCACGAGAGAAAAGCCCTCCCAAGCTGGGCTGGTGGAGTAGCTCCTACTAAACCACGAACAGACTTGGTAAACTCCAATTATCAAAAACATGTTTTTGCACATTTCTCGTTTTAGAAACACCATTAATGAAGCGCAGTTTTTATATTGTATGGAATTCAGTGACGTATAGATGAGCGTAACGCACCCAAAGCTCTGATTAAGACATTACAATCTCATATTGCAAATATCGAATTAGCTGGAGCTGAACAAACTACGAAGTATTCCAGTTCTGCATGTTCCGAAACATGACAGGCAAATGCAAATGGCATGGCTCTAGAGACCATGTTTGAGTTTCTGCGACTCAAGGCATTCCTATCAAATGCATATTAACCAAGTAGCAAGCGTCTATAAAGTATTATTGGACCCTGGACGCTTATCGGTACGCTCCTTTGGAAATATCAAACAAACTTGTGGTAGATTTCCAGACAAACACCACAACACCAGGCATATAGACATAGTTAGATACCTAACATGAATCTATTCATGTTATCTATGATATAGATTATAGATTTAACTCCAACCCGCACTGAAATCACCGGCCTGGACAATGCAGCAAACAAGCCTCCTGCCATTCGACTCGTCTACCAAATTCCCCAAGGAAATAACGCGACTTGATAACTCAAAACGGTCGGATCGCCCACGCACGGACCTGACCTGATGACCAAAGTCCTTAGGTCTCACCTTCCAGTTCAGGAACCTTACTAGTACGATCAACCGTGCGTACAACGTAAGCACTTAGTAAGGGAGAGTGGGGCACATTCGTGCATGGGGCACATTCGTTTTCAGCAGTTTATGGGAACACGAGTGACTGCAAGAGCTAAAGGTAAATTATGAAAATATGCAGTCAATCATTGCCGCCCTTCGGTTACTGTAGAAGACAACACTGTACCTGCTGTCATGCTTGATAAAAACGCAAATTTGTCATATTCGTGGGCTTTCCAAACTTTTCGCATATCATCCATTTTCGTGATCCTGACTCGGAAATGTGGTTTAACTTTTCAAAATTGAGTCCGAAGAAGCTCACTCTATTCACGGAGTGAGTCATTTTTTCAATAAGTCATTTTTTCAATAAGAAATTTTGAATTTTATTACAAATAACGTTGTGGGGCAGGTTCGTGCACGCACTGCCTAGGGGCACATACCTGCATATTTTTTTCGTTTTTACGTTTTATGACTTTATCTGTAGTAGTGACGCTCGCCTGACTCAGTCTCGGCTGCTTGCGACGTCGTGACAAGTAATTCACGTGACCTTGGAGAGGTAGGGGAGAGTGGGGTGGGTTGTATCAGTTTTTACTCCGAGACCCATAACCTCGTAACTATCCGTGATAAACTCATTATTTCCATACTATCTCCTTCCTTGATTCTTCTGCTTTTTTGTCCGAAGTAACTTTTCCGCTACCTCTACCAGTTTTTCTTCTACGGTCTGCCGAATAGAACAATGTTTTTGATACAACTTGCCCCATGGCTTGGGTGAGTTGTATCACATGGTGGGGTAATTTGTATCACTATTTCACGTTTCAGGGAGTGTGCTTGCTACTGGTTTTGAACATAACAACAACATTAAATGGGGTTAATACAATGTATATGCTCAAAGGCTTCACTTTTATTAGACCAAACTTAGGTCAATCCGAACGAAACATCGAAACGAACGAAACATCAACAGACTAGACGCAAAAGTGGCCCGTTAAGAGCAAAGAAGCCAACACATTGTGCCGAAATGGAACGAGTATTGACTAGCTACCTACAAACGCGAGCCAGGGCTTAGCTTTCGCGATCAAAAGCAACATACCCATGCATACATGCATACATACATGTTACAACATACCTCACCCGGCTCTGATACGACATGTACCTCGCCGCCATCTTGGAAAAAAACATCCTCGTGCTCAAAAACAGCGGACAGCTGGAGAAATCCATTTTCACTCACGCAGCCTTAGAACCTACCCTCACCACCGCTACGGAGATCTTTCAAATTCGTGCACATCTAAATGCTCAAAACACACATCTTCTTGCAACTTATTTTTTTAGAATGACATTAAAAAAACACAAAATCGGCTCTCACCTCGAGACGCGTCCACCCAGCCACACGACAGAACAGGGAAAGATGGCGCCCGGAAAACCTCGTCGGCTGGTCGTGTCACGAGCGTCATCCATTGGATAAGTTTGACACAATTAGCCCTGATACAACTTGGACATGATACAACTCTCCCCGCTCTCCCCTACGGAGGCGGGTCGATGGCCGGCGATTGACGCATTCTTGTTGGCCAGCCCATTTTTTCCACATATGTTGTGCAATGCATTCTTGTGGAAAGGAATCAAGTAAAATGACCCCCTGCCCATTTCTTTTGGTAAATTTCTGGCAATGCCCGGTAATTCATCCAATTTTGCAAGGTGCACGGAAGTGCCCCACCCCATGCACGAATGTGCCCCATACCTGGGGCAGTTTCGTGCAAACGTTAAGAGTTATTAAAAGTCATTTTTTCTAATAGAAGCGGTAACTTAAGAGGATAAATTTTAAAGAGTAAAAATATCTGCAATAGTTCCTTTCCATACTACATATGTACAATCAACAATTTTGCCGCTGCACTAATCAAAGAACAGATATATGGAATTATCCATTTCTTGTACGAATGTGCCCCACTCTCCCCTACATATTAAACATGCATTAACCCTCAAACAGCTTCATCGGAATATTTGCCACTGTAACTGTACCAGTTGAGTGGTGGGGCTTAAATGCGGAATTGATAATAGCCGTTTTCACGACGGGCTATCCGGCGAATGCACCTGATTTGACCAAATCTGCACCTAATTTCTTTTGCAGGAAATCTCTTCATTTTATTAATTTATTTCAGTGTT